CTCTGAAAGGTGTTTTTCTACAATTCTAGCTGGGTAACCTCTATTCTGCAGGCGTGTTTTGAAATTACTCGTGTTAACTCATGTTAACTTTGGAGTAGATGTAAGGGCACGAATCCACCCGGATGCTAACTGAATTCCCTTCACTCTTTGCTTCTTTGCTCTATTTTCTCCCCGTCGCCCGAGGAAAGTTGGACACTCGCGCTTTGAGGCAGTATACGTCTAAGTTGTACACTGATTGGTTAGTTGGGTTCAGTGTTTTACGGCAGATTAAAAAAGCTTCGAACGCTGATGCATTTCGCAAAAGGCGTTCCACAGGGCAGCAAAAGAAATGGGGAATTCTTGTTCGAGCTTAAGGCTGCCATACTAGCTTCTGATTTGTCTTTCAAGTTTCTCTGACATAATTACTCATCTGTGCACATTTTAGTGTCCCAATCGTTTCATCGATATGGAAATTGTTTCGTAATTCTCCCTTATTTCTTAATCCACTAAGCTGATAGTAAAGCATGTAGTTACCTTAGCAGACAGTCTCTAAGTCTCCATCTACAGTTTCGGTGAAGATCATCAGCAAAGCTTGCATAGCCAACACAGTATCAAGAGATCGTCAAGGAATTTAAGATCACGAAAATAAAAAATAATATATACGCGGTTTATCGACCAAGCGTGATTGAAAGATTGCTGCGGGATATTACCCAAGAACATTTGTTGCGTGCTTACGGACCGACACGCAGTGGAGGTCCATAAACAAGAAAAAAACTACCATGATCAATATCCAGCCATCTAGACCGAGCAGATTTGGTCGATAAGGGTTTATCATATGGTATACAGGACAACAAATTCTAGCGGAAATTGAGGGCAATCCCGAGCAAACAAATTAAAAGAGCCCCATTTTGCCGGTTCGGGTGGCCGATCACAACACAGGATTTGGTTGATATTGCCCTCTCGCGGAGCTAGCCATAATTGTAGAGGAGACATGTCAAACAATAGTTAACAATTATAAATCGAAGTGGAGGTGAATAGGTGGATATTTACTTTCACCGACACTGAGGTAAATAATTGTTTTAGTACATACCACACAAGCTGAATAATTAGCGGACCAAAACGTTATTTTATGTGTGGCAAGCGATCGGAAATTTTAAAATCTCTCGCGCCGGCTGCTCGGACGTGAACAGTACTTCCTAACCACCTCCGAGTTAACCAACCAGAGCGCGCGAAAAGCACTATTCACTTGTGTGGTATATACTAATATCAATAAGTTATCGAATATTTATTAAAAACTAAATCATTGGATAAAGCAATTCGAGGGTTTTTATTGGTTTAGCCATCATGGGTTATGAGCCATTATACCATGCTCTTCAAATACGATAAGCGTTTGTGTGATTTTTTGGCGCGTTTCTATTTTTAATTTAGTCTACTTTTCTGTATCTTGAGGCGTTTTTAATAAATCAGTTATTCCACTCACGCCTGTTGGATATATATGGGTTATTAAGTGTGAGGTCAAGATTGCTGGATATTGGCCAAGTTCTTTTTTTGCGTGTTTATGGACCGAGAAGGAGTCGAGGTCCATAAACTCGCAAAAAAAGAACGAGGCCATTATCCAGCCATCTTGACCGAATAAGCTTGGTCAATAAAGGATATATTACATGGCTTTCGGGCAAATTTTACTTGCAGGACACAGCGGGTAGTCCCGAACGGGCAAGATAGCTCCATCTTGCTCGCTCGGGTAGCCAATCACAGTGCAGGGTTCGATTCATTTTGCCCGCTCGCGGAGCTAGCCATATAATAAGATATGATTAAAACCAACTCGACGCTACGCACCTCGTTGGCTATCTACCATCTCATATCAAACGCGCGCTCGTGGATTAACTGTTCATTATTGTTATTGCGGTATCTTATAGACCTTGTACGGTTGCTAGGTCTCGTTAAAAGAATAATGAGCATAAAAGGAATAATAGCACCCAAGTTTTATGAGAAATGCCAAGAGGTATATAGGCCAATTAGGGGTGGCGAATGGTCCTTTAAAAACCCATGGTCTCGCAAAATTTTCGTCGGATTTCACGGGTCTCGCAGTCTCGTTTTTTAGCGGTTATGTGC